TTTTTCTATCAAAGAGTTGGTTGTCAATTCTTTAATTGGGAGAACCCTCCAATTCGCCGTCAGCTAGGGGCTATAATTCCAAGACTACTACGTATAGTAAGTGACTTGGAAGCTAAAAAGCAAAATTGAAGCAGAGCATTGAAATGATGAAAAGAACCTGCACTTTTATAGTTTTGTCTGTTGATGTTTTCCGGTGCATGTACGCTTCAGTTAAATTGATATGATGCCATGATTGGTGTAATGAACTTAGATTCTTCGTCTAGATTTTTAGGTTGTTATGTACTTTTGTGGTTGTGCATATGTTAAGTAGAATGATCTTGTTAAGAAGTATGATTTGTTGTACTTGTTTTATGTTAAACAATTCATATTTTTAATAATTTTTTCATTCGTTTTGTAATTTACATCAAACACATAAAAAAAAGTCATACTTAAAACTTTTACATATAACAACAGTTATATTAGTGAAACCAAATTGAGTTGAATATATACACATGTTCGAACTTGTGCTCGTATAATAAATGAGCAAGTTTGACTAGGATCATTAATAAATCGAGTGTAATCTATTATGTTTTGCTCTTTTGAATTAAATCTTCATTTTATGTTCTATTATGGTTGTGTTTGGTAAAATTAGTTGATAGTTGATAAGCTATCTTATAGTTTAGTAGTAATTTTTGAGCTTATAGCTTATAGCTTATTATTTATAGTTGAAAAACTAGCTTATATGATAGAAGTGTTTGGTATATTAGTTGATAAGCTAGCTGAAATAAAAATTTCAACGAACTTATTAGAAAAGTTACCCAAAAAAGCTTATGAGATAATCTTGATTTTTTTTTTTTAAAAAAAAAAAATCATCCTAAGATGAACCCTATTTAAATACAAAAAGCTTATATGTTAATCAAATAATCTATAAGTTAGCTTATTTGTCTACCAAGCATAGGCTATATGAATGAGTTTACGACCCGAACTAGGTTGTACTCCCCAACAAATCAGTTCTAGCAGCCCAAAGTAAAAAATACATCAATGGAATATTCATTCAGAGATTCTTCAGGACACATCAATGGAATATAATCAATGGAATATACATCAGTTCTAGCAGCCCAAAGTTCTATCACCTGAAATCATTCGGAGATTCTTCGGGACACTAACCTCCGGCCGGGGTCTATGCCTTTCCGGTACCTCGGTATCCCACTCACGGCGGAAAGAGTCACCGTTGGATAATTTGACACACTCATAAATCAAATTTCGAAATACATCAATGGATGGAACGCTTCCTCTCTTTCATATGCGGGTCGAGTGGAGCTCATTAATCGGTCCTCCAAGGGGTGGAATGCTTTTGGATGTCTATCTTCCCTCTTCCGTCGACCGTCCGTTTGCTTATCATCCAACGATGTCGTCGCTTCCATTGGGGCTCAAATATGGCACCGGTGGCTTGGCACACCGTCACTCTTCCACGTTCGGAGGGAGGCTTAGGCCTTCGGGACCTCAAAGCGTGGAACCAAACCTTGCTAGCACGAACATTATGGAATATTCAAGCCAAGAAAGACACCTTGTGGTACCGTTGGGTGCATCACGTTTACTTAAAGCAAAAATCCATATGGCAATGGACCATCCACAAGAACGACTCCCCACTTTTCAAAAACCTCTATGACATCCGGAACCTAATTGTGGGAAAATTGGGTAGCACGCAAGCCGCCGAGACCGCCCTTAGCCTTTGGGAATCCAAATCTTACTCCAAGGGGCCCTCATGCATATACGAATTCTTCCGACCCCAAGGCACCCCCGTTCCTTGGAAGGGTGTGGTATGGGGGCCCGCCAATACCCCCAAACACGCCTTCATCCTTTGGCTTGCAACGCTTGGGAGGCTCCGGACCAACGATAGACTCGGCTTTCTTGATATAGACCTTACTTGTGCCTTTTGTGGGGAAGCTTCCGAGTCAAAGGGTCATCTCTTTTTCGCTTGCCCCCTTTCGGCTCAAGTTTGGCTAGGCATCCGACAATGGCTAGGATTGAGGAGACAACTCTCTACACTAAAGAGTGCATTGAAGTGGATTAAGAAAGAATTCCAAGGCTCCGGTTGGAGAAAAAAAAGCAATAAAAGCGGGGCTCGCATCCACGGTGTACTTCCTTTGGAATGCTCAGAATAGAAAGATTTTCGAGAATGAGGTACAATCTCCGGAGCTCATTATCCGAAAAATTCAAACCCACGTCTACCGAAGTATTTTCTCTTTGTACTCGAATTTCCTTGCCGACATGGAGAGAAAGGCCCTCGAAAATGGTTTCTGCGTCCCACGACATTTTGATTTTCGGTTCCACTTTAGTTTGAGTTGAGCAACCGAGATGTGGGTTGCCGCTCATCATTTTGATTAGCGAGTGAGGGACCGGATTGTGGTTACCCATTTTGCTTT